TTGTAGTGTAGCTAAGTAGTTAGCATTTTTTGCTAGTCTGTCTGCTAGGTTGTTAAAGGTGTTGTTATGTTGGTTGTTAAATGAAAAACATTGGTGATTTATAAGTATATTATATAGTTCTAGTAGCTGAGTGTTAGTGATATCCATATTTGAGTTGTGAAGAAATTGCTGTATAGTATTAGTAATAAGTGTATTTATTGTGAATGTGTCTAGACAGATAAGCCAGTGTTTTTGGCTTTCTTGAGCTCCACATGTTATACAGTTGTTATTTGGAATTGTTAATAGGTATAGTGTGTGTTGATAGCAGAGAGTATTGCGATAAGTTCGGCTTTGTATGATGATGGCTAGAGTTGGGTTTTCACTGAGTATGTGTAGATGATTGTATTATTTTGAGTTTGAATCCAGCCGATTCCCATAGTACAATGTTCTGTAGTGATATCTTTAACTAAGCCGTCTATATAGAATATAAGTTGTGGGTAAATTAAATGGTTTTTTGTAATTTGTGATAGTGATTGTAAAGATTGATTATCATTAAAGATTTCAAAAATTGCATTGTCTTGAAGTTTAATAGTAGGTTGTGTTGATATAGTAGTTGGATTATATAATGCAAGAAAGTAGATTAGGTCTAGCAAGTTGGTATAAAGGTTTAGTGTGATTCTATTTTCTATGTATTTTGGTTTTTCCAAAAACTTGGTTGATAAGTTAGTAGGAATATTAAATATATATTTGTTTTGAATTCGATTAGAATTCAATATACATCCTGTGCATAATTGAGTTTAATAAGTTGATACTAGATATAGATTAATATATAAATCATCAAATATAATGTTTTAGTATATAATAAATATTTCATCGTTACTTGAATAATGTTTTCTGGCTTTTCTTATAATAATAATATTGTCTTTGTATATAATTAGCCAAGGTTTAGATTTGGCTTTGTAATATCCGGTATTAAATAATATTGAGTTAATTGTAGATAGATTTAGATCAGAATTGATTTGTTTAGTTACTTGGTAAGTAGTTATTTTGTTTTAAGAACTGCAAACCAAAGAGGTCTGTGTCCTTTTGAAATTTGTTGTATTTATAGTAAGATGTGTATTCAGTCTAATAGAGTGGAGTTGTCAAATGAAGTTAGTTGTTCTAAGTAAATAATGTTTTTTGTATGTAGTTGTTTTTTGAATTGTAGATATAGATTGTGTGAATTGAGAAATTTTTCAATAGGTGTATATGGGTACTGAAGTGTATATAGTTAGAGGTAATCAGGGTATATATTGATAGATAATTGGAGTAAATTGAATAGCTGTATAATTTTAAAGATAATTGTATTTTTATTAGAACCATCTATTAGTGGACAGGGGTGTTGAAGGATGTTGGTTGTAGATCAAAGGTTGTTTTGTAATTATTGTAGCCAAATATGAGTACTCAAACCCATAAGGCCTTGATTATTTAGATGGAGTAGGAGATTTGTAGTGTGATATTGTAGTTGAATATCCTATATATTTTTAATGCTATAGATATTGTGGTTGAGTAAAATGCTGTTAGGAATAGTTATAGGTAGTCTGGCTTTGTGTTTAGCAGTGGTAAGATATTGTGAGAGAATGAAGTTATATGTGGTTCGAAGGAGTACAATATTATATATACGATATTCTAAAGTAAGAATTATAACATTATTAATAATATATGCAGCTTGTTTGTCAGTTATGTTTTTTGTTTTGAGTATGTTATTAAGACCAAGTATTTCTTGTTGAATAAGTTTGATTTGTATAGTATATTTAAGTATAGCTATAAACTAGCATCCTAGAAAATTAAATAGGGTGTGCTAAGGTTGTGTTTGGATGAAGTATTTCATAAAGTTAATGTTTGGAGTTTGGTGAGTATTTGATATTAATATTGATTTTTGTAGATTAACTTTGATATATGCTATTATGTAAAATAAAGATGCTGCTTGTGTAATTGTTGTAATTGTTCAAATGATTTGGCAAACCAGAGTATATCATCCATATATACAAGTACAGAGGTAAATGTTGATGTTTTCTTGTACTTTGTAGGGTTGAGTTGTGTAATCTACTTAACTGTAGATGAGTATCCAATATATGATTTATTGATATGAGTAATTAAAGAATCGTAGTATATATGCCAAAGAAGAGGAGTTATTGTTTCTCCTTGGTCGATTCCATCTTGTATATTGTAAAGAGATGTTAGTTCATGGTTGATAATAACCTGGTTTATATAATTTTGCAACAAGTTAATAATAATTTATACAAGTTGTGTAGACAAGTTTAGGTGTTGCAAAGCTTTGTTAAGGAGGTTTATATTAACTGAATCATAGGCTTTGGTCATATCCTGTGATAGGATCTATATTTGTTTTTTAGTACATTTGGTGTCTTCTAAAAAGTTGTTAAGTATATATATTGGATTGTTGGTAGAGTTGCCAGGAAGTGTAACATAGTTATAAGAATTAAGGATTGGATATGAAGTAAAGATTTTAGTCAATCGGTTGGTAAGGATTTTAGTGTGAAGTTTTTTGATATGTTCTATGAGACTAATAAGATGATTGTTGTTAAGATTATTGTCAAAATGAGGTATTTTTGATATAGGATAAATTCTATAGTTTTTCTATTGTTTAGATATGTTTTGTGTTATAAGATATCGATTAAGCAATTTAGTAATTACAGTTAACATATTAGGTTCTATATGTTTGATCATCTCATAACTAATTTCAGATAGCCCACAGGCTTTATTGTTTGGTAGTTGTTATATAGTTTGGATTACTTCTTCTGTACTAATTTCTTCAAGTATAAAATTGTATCATATGGGATTAATGGAGGAGATGATTTTATATTCTGTGTGCTAGTATTGATTAAAGGTTGTCTATTGTATTATTGATATGTTTGCGTAGATATTATACATTTTCTAAGTTTCTGGTATTATATATTGTTTTCCAATATATTTTTGTTTGTTGTAGACATGTTGTAAGTTCAGTTTGTTGGGTGGTGGAGGAGTAATAGAAAAATCATGTGTAGTGTTAATGTAATCAATTAAATTTAGAATGTTATTAGGTAAATTACATCAGCAAAATATATAAATGTAATCTTACAAAAGTTATTACGCCCCTAAATACCACAGATGTACACAAACAAATGAAGATAATCAACATTGGCTTATTCGCACAGCAAACATACATCCAATTGAACAAATAGTCACACAAGCTCTCAATCAAACAATACAAAAATATTAGATAAATCTAAATACTACCAACTTCATACAAAACTTTTTACAAAAGTTCATATACAAATCACAACCTGCACCACTCGGAATTATTACAAATGATATTATTATCAACAAAAATCCTCAAGCAGACATCAATGCAACAAAAAATCCCACCTGCTACTTTCTTCATCATGTTATTAAGGAAATTCAAAAGAAGACTTGGAAAGCAAGATGCACGGAACTCTCAAACCAAGCTATACAAAGTTCTCAATCTCCAATCCCGATTATAAACAAACATCAACCCAAACACCCTGCTTATTATAAAAAATATAAATATAACCGCTGGCTCAATAATTTCATAACAGCAAACACCTCCCCACTCAATATTCCATACATAGACTAATGAGGTCGTCGACCTATCTTAGCAAAAGCTTAGGTCAAAAGTAAAGTAGCTTTAGCCTTTAATTCCATATAGATTAGAAAACATAAAGTATTGTAATAATATTTGTAATATCATATGAATTCTAATAAAGAAACAGAGGCACAGCCTCGCTTTAAAAAAAAAAAAAAAAAAAATTTTGTACAAAGTTTTTGAGATAGCAGCATTATTGGTTTAGAGGACTAAGTTTGCATTCTGTATATTTAATTAGTTATTGAGGATTATTTAGTAATTAGATCTAGTATCAAAAGACAATGAGCTGATTTTTCTTTTTTGAAAATTTTTAAAAACTTAAATTTATATATTATAAACCCATGTAATTTATTGGTCATTTAGAGATGATATAATAAAAAGATTAGATTGAATAAGCTGTTTATAGATATTTTTTGCTGCAGCAATATGGTTTAGAATGGTATTATATTACTTTAGTTGTCTGTCTTTAGGAATTCTTTGTATATTGTAGTGTGATTCCTACTAATTTAAAAGCTATATATAAGAGTAGTTAATTAATTGTTCAATAAAGTAAATTTAGTTTTTTTTTTATAACTGAAGATTTTGGATTTAGATATAGTATGTTATTGATAGAAGTTTCATTGGTATTAGCTATATATTGCTATTATTATAAAAGGTTGTGCTTTGTGAAGTTCGAGTATTATTTTTGCAGTAGTTGTTTGTTTTCTGATAATGGAAAGATAGGTTGATAAATAAGTATAGAAAGATTTGTTGTGACAGAATTTTGTAGTTGCTATAGCCATATTTTAAGTGCAGAGAAGCTATAGGAGAAGTGATTGAGAATGTTGAAAAAAATTGTTAATATGTTGTAATTGCTATATATTTTAAGTTGTTTTTAGACTATAAATTTAGTTGTAAAATAAATATTAAGTTTAAAATAGTAGTAGCAAATTTGGCTTTGTGTTTGATAAAGTTAATATAGAATTTGGTAATCTTGTCAAGCTGCAGACTTAAGAGAAAAGTGTTTTGAATATAGTAAGCAAATCTAGTAAGGATTACAGAGATATTTATGTATATTGCTTATTTGTTTATTATCTTTGCATATTATAACTTTTATAGGGCTGCTGTAATTTCATCAGTGATAATAGTTTAAGTAGATTTATATAAGATGATTCTAGAAAACCAGCACTCTAAAAATCTAAAACTTGGTTATTGTCCAGCAGGCTATAGGGTTGTATGTTGGGTTCGTGCTATTAGGCTGTATGTTTATATTCACGTTTAACGTTGTTTTTCTATAGAGAGATCTGTAGATTTGCCATAATTTTTGTTGTAGATTGGGTGTAGCATCCATTAAGTTTTTTGAAATCTGATCTTTATATGTGGTAAAGGTATGTTTTCGTTGTATTTTTGTAGTATTAGGGTAGGGCTGTATAGGAGTTGTGTTTAAATCCTTGATGTTTGC